TGCAGTTCGATGATGCGGGTTGTAAGAAAAAGAGATGATAAGGCTTCGGTCGTACGAATATTTCAAACGTCGTCTCGAATATATCGCGATACGTGCACGCGAGAACGTATGATGTACGGTCCGTTTAGCGTGGATGGTATAACCAACGGTAGAGTGATTCTGTAATCAAAGATGAATGAGAGATGTAGAGAGGTAAAAATTTGTTGATACGAGAAAGTTTGAGTTTGAGGAGAAAATTTTTGTCAAAAATAGAACGGCGAAAAATTATCGTATATACGTTTTTAAATTTCAAGTTTACGAACGATTTCTAAAATTCAAAGCTTTCGATTATTCGAAATTTTTAACGAAAGTATCGATTAATATTTACTACACTTTTCTATCTGAGAAAAAATGCAATTAAATATTATCGATATTAAATATTATCATTCTCTTTTTTTCTATCGATGTATGATCAACGACGGTACGTTTATTGAAAATTTTATAGAATTCATATAGATGCACCTGTGCAAAGAACTTTTAAGCTTAATTTTTTCCAAATAACTTGTATCATCGTATTATCTTATCTATATCTTTTATTCCTTTTTTTTTACCCGTAGACTCGCTATATTCTCGGTTATACTTATTATTTATTGCAGGACATATTGATGATTCTTGAAAGAGGAATTGATTGGGGAGGAAGAGAATGCGGCATAAATAGGTATCGCGTGTACATTACGTATGCATAATCGACGACAATTAATATCAACGTTAATATTAATATTATGCAAACCTGATGGGGATTAAGATCACGGTTGCTCGAATTTAACCCTTTGATCTATAACATGAGCAGGTGTGAATATAAATGATACAAGATATTTATGTTAAGTCATATATACTCGAAACTTGCAATTTTAAAATTTATAATTGAAGACTGAAGGGAATAAGAATAATTTTTTTATAAAAAGATCAGCATCAAACTTTGTTCCTTGGATTATCATACTCTTAGAACAAAGATTATATTTTAACGGTATAAAAAAAATGCTACATATATTTCATAACAATTTTTCCCTTTGCAATTTAATTCCTCAATTATTGAATATTGCATATGGCGAATGAACATTTTGTTCATTTTAATGATACACCACACTGTTAATCCGATATTCCAAGATATTTCCTTTGCAAATCTCAAAACAGAATCGAGCATTAAAGGCTTAACGTGATTTGACCGCCACTCGACACACAATACACCCTCGCACACTAACACTTCATCCTTCATAGTATAAGATAAAGAGGAACATACGATCGTACTAAAATCATTTAATCTCTTCTCTCCACTCTCTCTCTTTCTCTCTCTCTCTCTGTTCACAGCTTGAAGCTCGAGTGCGAGAAATTGGCCACGGAGAAGATCGAGATTCAGCGACATTACGTGATGGTAAGGAATTACCATTCCGTAGCACTAATTCCGGTTAAGTCTGTGCTTCCTTTCCACCTCTCTCTCTCTCTGTCTCTCCACACCTATATACCCCTAGTAAAGTTTCTCTCAGCTATCTGTCTCGCTCTTGCCCCCGATATCACAGTCTCTCTCTCTCTCTCTCTCACGCTCGCCCATTTTCCGTATCCAGGATAATCATGCTTGCTCGACCGCTAAACCACCTCGGCTTCTTAGCATTAATTGCATCCTCGCCGCACCGACTTTACATTGGCCTGTTACACCGCGCGCATCTCCCCTGTTCAGGTATATACACAGAGACATGGACAGGCAAAGACGGGCCACGTGTTCGCTCGTGTATCTGTATATTTATCTTGCGCACCTACTGTGCATAGCTAATGATCGTAAGAGAGCAGAGGTTCTCATCGATTTCTCATCGGGAAGCGTTCTATCATCTGGAAACAGAGTTTAAAAAGTAACTAAGTTAATTTCGAATAAAGTTATTGTTTATTATAAACGCTTAAATAATATTTATTAGCTATTATAATCTCGGTTATTCGCAATTATTATGCTTTGAACGATAAATTATGGAAGTAATTATAGCTATAAAATTTTGTCTGGAAACATCTCCAGGATTGACAGAGATACTTATTCGTTCATATACATCATTTCATTTATTTCTTCTATGGAAATAATTTTTCTGATAAATCATTTTTATCAATGGATTTATAAACAGCCGCTTTGTAAAATGCGGTGACATATTTTCAACATTTCTGAAAGTTAAAAAAGTTAAAAATACAGTAAAAAGAACCTCACCATCCTCATCTTTCATCCATATTCTTTTCTTGAATATTTAGAAAATTAAACTTCTATTCTACTCTATTATATTGAATGCTTGCTTTTGCATTGATCGTAATTTTCGTCTCTTCATCGACAATTCAATATAAAAACCACGTAAAAGCACGATATATACTTAAAGAACATATACCGGTTACGGTGTTCACCGACGAGAATATACAATGACCCGTCTTCGGATACCTAATGACAAAGTAATACGAGAGCGATATAACGGCGCGCGAGCAATGCTGAAGGATAATGTAGTTGCCCTGGTTGGCTTGTATAACCGAATGCTTTCCAACGATCGACCGCCGTAAACCAGTCTAATTATACCGATCCGCGTGTCCCGCGAGGAAATCCGAGCCGCGCTCGCCCGCCGCACGCAAGATGGGATTTATTGCCGGGCGTTTTCATGGTAAATGCCCCGCAGTTAACCCTCGCAAAATTGGACTGCGTGCGTGTATAGGGAGGGAGCTGGTTTATACGGAGTGGGAGTGGAAGTTTATCGTTGTCCCGGTGACATAATTAATCGACGTTGATATCGTATCGCTTATTTGGGACGTTGGAAAGAATCGGTCGTGTTAATTCGAGATATTTCGCTTCTCCAAAGTTAGAAAGTGGTTTCTGGAAGTGTGTGTTGGGAAGATTTATTTTCCTATATCCCTTTTTTTAATGGATTTTGATCGAGTTTTCTTCTTCCATTTTTTTCACGTTGTAAATTAATTCATGTTGGGTTATTCGCGAAAAATATTCCGTTTCGAATTATTATTTTTGTCGCGTTAATTCGAAATGTTTCGGTTCTCGGAAGTAAGAAGGATAAGAAATCGATGTTAGAAAGTTTTGGAAATGCGTTTTATAATTTTTTTTACATTGTAAACTAATTATTTTGAACGGTGGGGGAAAAAATCGGTTTCGATATTTTTGCCGTGTTAATTCGAAATGTTTCGGTGCTCGGAAGTAAGAAGGATAAGAAATCGATGTTAGAAAGTTTTGGAAATGCGTTTTATAATTTTTTTTACATTGTAAACTAATTTATTTTAGATTATTTTGAACGTTGGGGGAAAAAATCGGTTTCGATATTTTTTTCGCGTTAATTCGAAATGTTTCGGTTCTCGGAAGTAAGAAAAATAAGAAGTCGATGCTAGAAAATTTTGGAAACCCGTTTTGAATGAATTTTTAAAAATTTTTTTACGTTGTAAACTAATTTATTTTAGGTTATTTGGAACGTTGGAGGGAAAAATCGGTTTCGATTATTTTTGCCGCGTTAATTCGAAATGTTTCGGTTCTCGGAAGTAAGAAGGATAAGAAATCGATGTTAGAAAGTTTTGGCAATGCGTTTTATAATTTTTTTTACACTGTAAACTAATTTATTTTAGATTAGTTTGAACGTTGGGGGAAAAAATCGGTTTCGATTATTTTTGCCGCGTTAATTCGAAATGTTTCGGTTCTCGGAAGTAAGAAGAATAAGAAGTCGATGTTAGAAAATTTTGGAAACCCGTTTTGAATGAATTTTTAAAAATTTTTTTACGTTGTAAACTAATTTATTTTGGGTTATTTGGAACGTTGGGGGAAAAAATCGGTTTCGATTATTTTTGTCGCGTCAATATTCGAAATGTTTCGTCTCGTCGGAAGTGAGAAAAGAGGATTGGATGTTGAAAGCCTTTTCTACAAGGTTTTCTTTTAATAGATTGCTTTGGTCAAGTTTTCTTTTCTTCTAATTTTTTTTCACATTGTAAACCAATTTATTTTAGTTTCTACTTTAGATAGAAACTTTACATAGAATATTTACATGCAGGCGGAGTTCATGTTAGCAAGTTTACGAGTAAGAAAACAACTATAACGTGTTCCTCTATTAATTCTGAGGTATTATGTGTACGTAATACAGACAACCGCATGCCTTGCGCGTTTTTTTTATTTCATCCATTTCCAAGAAATTGTTACGTTTATTATTTATGTTTCCTCATAATTTTCTGTTGCACGTTAAAATCTAAGACTATTCAGTAGCAAGTTTGAACTTGTTTCAAGTGGTTTCTCTTGGCTAATAAAATTATGTTTTTCATCCATCTCAATTAGTTTTAGTACAGGATTCTTCCGCATAATATTGACAAGTTCATCGATATAAAAACTCACGTGTATTAATGTTTCCAATCTTCCTCCAAAAAAATTCATACTTCCTTATCCACTTTCTAACGATATTTTCACTCGTATCGGAATTCAGACTTTAAAAATCGCATATATACCAACAAAGAATTGCAAGAATATAATCTTCCAATCTTCCTCCAAAAATGTTTCGAAAAAAATTCATACTTCCTTATCCACTTTCTAACGAAATCTTCGAATATATACCAACAAAGAATTGCAAGAATATAATCTTCCAATCTTCCTCCAAAAATGTTTCGAGAAAAATTCATACTTATCCATTTTCTAACGATATTTTCACTCGTATCCGAATTCAGACTTTAAAAATTATATACGAAGAAAGAATTGGAAGAATAAAATAATACGTCTTGTTCGAGATAGGTGAATATACTAATTTATCGTTGTCCCTTACTCACGGCTTGATATGGTGTTCCTCCTCGGGTCCTGTTTTTCCCTCGGACACTCGGATAAGAGGGAGTGCCTCCCTCGTCTCCCCTTTCTTGCCGCTGTTGCACGGGCCGTTGTACAGACTTAATTGGCGCGGAGGCGACTAGTTTAAACACGATTAATCAAGCGAACGAGCCAACACGGGCGTGGAGGAAGTCGGCTCGGGGAGGGGGAGGGGGCAGAAAGAGAGAGAGAGAGAGAGAGAGAGAGAACTCCACGGAGATTTAT